ATGAAAATTTTGTGACGTCGAATAGTTTTTGGCGTCGAATTGTGTTGTCAAAAAATGCATTTTTCTTCATATGGTGTCTAAAATGACATTTTTGGGGGGCAATTTGTTAGCTCGTAATTTCGACGTCTGGTTTGAATTGGTGAAATAAATAAGGGAAAGATAACTTCTGTGAAATTATGATGAACTTCGACAGGACAGTGTAATTATGAAATTTTAGTCGAAGTTATCCTTGTGCAAGAAGGAAGAATTGTTTGGACTCAAGGAAATTTTCTAAGTTTGGAGATATAGTTCAACGAAGACGCTACTGATGGTGTCTTCGATTTGAAGTTTGAATTTGAATAAAGGAGGGAAATTTGTTCTTATCTAGTTCCATTTTGATTTAGTATAAATAAGAGGTCTTAGTATTAGGATTTCAGGTGTGTTCAAGTTTGTACAAGTCACTCAAATTACTCAAAGTACCTAGTATGTAAAGAAAAGAGATTAAAAAATGTATGTTTGATGAAACATCATTTTCTTACATTTTAATCAAATTCAGTTTATGCTTTTGCCCATAAATTTATCTTCTTTATTGCACAAATTTCTTTCAACGCATTTTACAGCACTTTCGATTACTTTCTTGCAACGTATTTTCTTTTATTATCGAATTAAACTATTTTCCAATCATGAATGTTGTCGAAGTGTTCATTGTCTCTCAAACTTTAATTTAAAAAGTATTAGCACATGTCCTAGGATTCACTGGTTGATCTTGTAAGTTAACCAATATTTGAAGACTAGCGGTTGTTTACTAATTTTCACGTTAAACAAGTGTGTAATTCAAATTCACATTACCTGCATTTGAGTTTAATTTGCTTTTCATTTCACTTAACTCAGGTAGTATAAATAATGAAAGGTAGTTTCGATTTGTAATTAGAATTCATTTTGTAACTGATTCCAATTTCTGTTAGAAAGTTTGTTACATTTTTTCTCTCTCTTTCTCTTCCATCATCTTTTTCATCTTTAATCTTGCGCACCAACACATTCTTTTAAGTCTTCACTTAATATTACGAGGTTCATTCACCACCGTTGCACAATACCTCTTAACTTTAACTTAATTCATGTCAGTTGATATACAAATATATGCATTTACCCTAAATGCCAATTTTTGTGTTCTATAGTTCTGAAGTGGTTGCATTATCTAAACATTTTCAAAATATTTACATCATTCCATTTTAACTTACCAAAAACAAACACTTAATACTTTTCTCAAAAGTTTCCAATTAGTCCAATTAATCTTTCCAAACAATCATTTTGTATCCCGATGTTTGTGCATCAAAAGTTAACACTTTCAAATAATCATTAAACATGTAGCTTCCGCCTTCTGTGTGCTACTCACAAAATCTCTTGTTAATTATGGTTTACCCCTAAAAAAATGTCCTCTCACAAGCGTTGTGCCTAAAAAATTCATAGACAATTATCGACCAAAGTTGATTATTGCTTTAGGTTTTTACAATTCTCCCTAATAAAGTGTTACGAAACACATTGTTTCAATTAAGAAACAATTAACTACTTAAACATATCATGCTTTATCGAGACAATGGGCACAAGGCACAAAAGACAAAAACAAAATGCTCTCATAGATCCGACTTTTGATCATTTTAAGAAAACTAATTCATAACCATCAAGAAAATCAAAATTAAAGATTTAATACTACAATATAACACCCTTAATTTTTAATACTGAATAGTCTATTTTATTTTCCTTTTAAATTTGTCAGAACTTTCATAAATAAAATGTGATATCTCTTTTCAAAATAAAATTAGAGTAAAATTATAAAATATGAAATAAATCTGTTTTAAAGAATCACACAATCAAGATCCGATGAATAATAACGTCATGGTTGGTGGCTTTTTCTGACTTCAAGAGATTGAATTGCATTATGCATTTTTTCTTCTTATAATTAACAAAATTAAACAATTGTATCTAGTTAGTGACATACCTATAACTACTAATGTTTTTAATATAAATAATGAATTAACAAATGATATAATCTAAGATTCTTTCTGACTGAATGAGAATAATAGTTTAGGCTATTATTAAGCTTTCATTTAGTTTCGCTATTTTTAAAAAATAGAAAATAGAACAATAGTTCAAAAACTAAATTTATAATATTTTATAAATTAATTATTATATTTATAGTTCACATATTAATTTGACAAGAGAAAAGAAACTGAGGTTTTCTATTCTAAAACCACAAGCCAAATAAGCACATTGTTTAGTTGAAATTTAAATTAAAAAAAAAAAAAAAAAAAGGAAGAAATCACGGATTTAGTATTTTTGTCCACTGTTTTCTTTCACTAAATTGAATTAAATTAGTATAATAAAAACAAAAACTGAAACACTCACATGTGGTTTGAACATAAATGCAAAATCAACATTTATATAAAATATTGTACTAATAATCTCAACAAGGTATCCCAAGGTAGAGAGGAAAAAAACGCATCCCAAGGGGTCTATTTCATAATTTAAATCTTTGTATTAATAACTTAAATTTTTGGAGTATGATTGGAGGAAATATTTTAGTGGAGAGGAATAATTTTTTTAGAAAATTTAAAATAATTTGGTCAAAGTTTACTATTTAGATAAAAATAAAAAATAATTAATCTTATGAAAATTTATAAAATATTTTGTATAAGTTCAGATTTAAAATTTTACAAATGTTACAAAATATAAAAAATAAAAAAAAAGTGAAATTTCTCTCTCACTAGATTCAATTTGAATGTCAAATAAATTATTATTAATCTTTTAATTTTTGTAAGTTGATCTTTATAATTTTAAAAAATTTAAAGTTTACTTTTCATGAATAGAAATTTAGTCCATAATAATTTTAAAAATTTACAAATTAGATCTAGTTAAATTTTCAAAAGTTAGAAATTAGTCTCTATTTTTTAAGTTTGATCAAAATTTATAAAAAAAAACTCAAAATATTTAAGAATGAAGAATTTTAATATACTGGTCAAACAAAAGAATTAAAAAAAACCAATTGAATAATTTAAATTAATTAAATTTAGAAATTCTTTTTTTAAAAAATTAATTATCTTATTCAAACACGGTATTAGATGCCATTTAAATTTACTTCAATTTATTTAGTTAGATATTTCATATTATTTTATCATTTTAACAATTTTCAATTTTTTTAATTATCAAAAGACACCATCGTAGTTTTGTTTTTTTTAATAAAGACCAAAACATATTCAAATTAAATATATTTTTAATCACAATTCATTTTTATTATCAACTATTTAAACTACTAATTTTATTGAACACCTTAAACTATGTTGACTAGCTTTATCTCCTGTGAAATATTTTATTCCATAAGTTGACTTAGCTCTATCTCCTATGAACTATTTTAATTAATTAAACCACATGCTCAATTGTTACAAACTATTTTTTTTTTAAGTTATTAATTTATATCAATAACTTATTTATATTTATCTATAAATATAATCAATATTGTCACAAAGGATTAAATTTTGTACTAATAATTTATATTTATTTAACTCAATTAACACATCAATTAGTTATTTATCTCCACTCATTTATTCTAAACTAATTATATTTATTTATTTTCTTCTAAATTGATTAAAAAAATTAGAGCAAATATCAAGAGTTCCGGTTAATTTTGTGCTTAAGATTTATTTTTTAAAAAGATGACTACCAAACCTAAAGCAGTGTATAATAGAGCATTAATTTTCACAGACGAAAATTATAGCTATTGAAAAACTCTTATGCGTATTCATGTCAACTCCGTTGACAAAGGTATATGGGACGCCATCGAAAATGGTTCGAATGAAATAACAATGACTAACGAAGGTGTTACCTTACCTAAACCCAAAGCACAATGGGATGCTAATGATTGAAAATTGTGGTCGCATGATTTGAAGGCGGAAAATATTCTCACATCCGCTTTTGGTGTTGATGAGTTTTATCACGTTTCTCATTGTGAGGCAACCAAGGCTATGTGAGACGCATTAGAAATTATCCATCAGGGTACTAATAATGTAAAACAAGCTAGGATCAACATTCTTTTACCCAAAAGAACTGTTTAAATATAAAGAAGAGGAAACAAAATACAAAAGAGGGGGACAAGGACCAAAACCCTCTACAACATCGAAAGAAAGGGAAAACCTAACCTATTTCGAACCAAATCGTCAAAAACAGACACATGAGCTTCATTCCACCAAACAAATCCATGAATGGTAAGACCTAATGAAGTTATTTTGTCTGCGCAGTGGTTTCCTTCCCTAAATACGTGAGATAAATGGAAATTCATACTTCTTGTTCTATGAATGTAGTTAAGCCATCTATTTTTAAGTGACCACAGAATGAACTGCAAATTATTTATAGCCAAAGAAACTAGTTTGGAATCAATTTCAACCCAGAGATACCTTCAATTGCTATCAAAAGCGACTTCTATTATTCTCATAACTCCTATGAGTTATGTGTTGATGGCTAAGTTTTCACCTAGATTTTTCAGCAAAGCACCCAATAAGATTAGACGAGTGGTCCCTAAAAATTCTGTTGCACGTTGCCTTGCCAAGGACACCTTGCAAAATACCATAAAAATTGCATTTAATCCAGAAATGGATAGGAGGTGTCCAAATGACTTCAACAATCTTGGCAGCCTTTGGCGGAAACACTGTAAATCTAAAAAAATCTAAGATGCGAAAATCCAAAATGTTACAAGAAGATACTACCTTTGAGGAGTTCCCTCTCAGGTTCACATTTGCAATAATCATATTTATGGAAGATTTCCACTGAGGGCATAAGTTGTTAAATTTTTTCTGATTTCTGAAGTTCCAAATTGTGTTGAGTATGTTTATGATAGCAGATAGAATTACCACCCTTGTTTGGCTAGACTAATTTTGAAAGAAAACATCCCAAATTTTCTTGATGTTAAGATTTAGAGCCATGCTAGTAGTACAAGCTAGCCAACTCTAAAGTTTATGTGCAAAAGAGCATTGCTAAAAGAGGTGCTCATTTGTTTCAATATGGCAATCACAAAGATTACATACTGAGGGAAACAGAAGAATTGCTCTATTGGCAAGAGCTTCATCAACTGGAACTTTGGATGGAATAAGTTTCCATACAAATAGTGATTTAGAGGGAGGAACAGAGGAATTCCAAATCAGCTTTGCCCAATCGATATTATTTCTAGGAGGAGACTTAAAATTATAGGCATATTTAAGACTTAGAGTGCCTTCTAGAGAGTGCATCCATCTAAGCTCATCACTTCTTGGAACTAGAGGAATGTGAACCTGATTGAGAATCCCAGTCATCTTAGGGAGAAAATCTTCTAACTCTGGAGGCAAGATCCATTGAAAGTTATGAATGAATTCTGCAACTTTGGAGGCCAAGCCATTTTGGACAATTTAACAGAAATTAAAGTGATCAGCCAAAAGGGGGCCACACCAAGCATCTATCCAGAAATTAATTCTCCTACCATCTCTCAAAATCCAAGATGAATTGTCAATCAAGACTTGGAAGCTGCTTTTGATACCACCCCAAATTGATGAAGATATGTGATAATTGATATGTTTATTATGTCTTAAGACTCTAAGTCTAAGGAGCCGATCCCATTGATTTGAGGAGTTGAAGAAATCCAAGCACAATTTTAGATTTGCAGCAGCATTAATTTTGGTGATTGCTCTGATGCCCAGGCCTCCTTGAGAAAATGGCATGCAAAATTTATGCTAAGCCACAATTAGCAGTTTCCTTTGGCCAATGTCATCACTTCATACAAAATTCCTCATGTATTTTTCAAGATCTTTCATAGTGCTAACAGGCCAGTCATGAATGAGGAAGCTATATGTGAGCATACCATGAATGACACTTTTAATGGTCTGCACTCTTCCAGCCATGCTTAGAAGGGATGCTTTCCAATTGGAGAGTTTGGCTTTCACTCTATCCACTAAAGGTTGGAAATACACAGCCTTTGGCTTACCTCTGAAAATGGAAATCCCTAGATAAGAAAAGAGGAGTTGTCCTTCCTTGAAGCCTAGAGTCTGAGCCAATAATGTAAACCTAGATGAGGTAGTGGACCCTGCATAAATGATAAACTTATGAGGATTAACATGTTGACATGAGCATTGAGCATATTTGAGGAACAAGCTTTTAAGAGCTTCCATATTATATGGCTTGGCTTTGCAGAATAACATGATATCATCTGCATATAAGACATGGGAGGGAACTAAAGAACCTCTAGGTCCTTTGATGAGGTTCAAGCTGCCTTGCTCAACAAGATTTGAAATTCCTCTACTTAAAATATCTTCTACAAGACAAAATAAAAGGGGGGAAAGGGGGTCTCCTTGTCTCACTCCCCTGTTACAATTGAAATAACCAACTTGGGCTCCATTGATGGAAATGGACATTATAGTATAAGATAGAATAATTTTAATCAAAGAGCAAAAAATTTCAGAAAAACCAAGCTTGCTCAACACCTTTAGCAAGTAGTTCCAGTCAAAGGGTATCAAAGGCTTTCCTTATGTCAATCTTAACAATAATGTTCCCACCAAAGGCTTTGTTGTGGAGCATGTTGATAGCCTCTGAGGTCATACATGAAGGAAAATTGCGATCTAAACGCAGCGGAAAACAAAAAATTTCCTTTAGTGATCCTTACGAATGAGCATGGTCAGTGATAGAATCGTTACCTCTTTGTGGCGATTCAGATCTTTGATGCAGCGATCACAAGCGTTGATGAAGTGCAACGCCTCTACTCAGTCCACACGAACAGCTTCCGATCACAGTGCTAGCTGCTTACGAACGGAATTATTTGAGTGAGAAAAGAGAATCAAAAACGAAAATGCATCAAGTGAAAGCTTCATCACAAGGGTTCCTTTTATAGACTCTCTTGTGGGCTGCGGGCTAAAACCCTAATTCACATGATCCATAATAATATTATATATTATTATAATAACTATTATTATAATAAATATATTTATTTTATTATTATTTTATAACCATTATAAAATAACAATAATTATTATTATATTATCCGAATTTCTATTTTTCACTTAAGTGCACCGTACCTTACGGTGTTCCTTTGATTTCTCTATCTCTCATCAAACTGTCCTTATGTGTGTGACCCTGTAGGATTTCGTAACGTTGGAAATTATATTAAATTATATATATTTAACATAATAAACAGTAAGCGGTATCTAGCAACACATCACTGCTACCCAAGTCACGAAAATGTCATGTGATCTGACAAAACCTTTTTCGTGATAATATATGTTTGTACAATTACCCTTTTGCCCCTATGTCTATATTGAACACAAGGCATACACTGTGTCATCCTTGTCCAGTTCAATATTGGGCCCTTAGACATTTCTCCTGTTATGCAGGATTGGCAAATTCCATCTAGGACACTCATGTCCCTCAGCATGCTTCGTGGAGTGCCCATCAACTGTCTTTATGATCATCCAGTTACGGGTAATGTTTGATCAGCAATAAAGCACCCGACTCTACATCTAGGGTCCATAGTGGTTTCAGGTCGAAGGGTGGTAATACACCATTATCACCATGAGAATAACTTATGACACTTTGCATAACATACTATGTAGTATTCTCATAGCGGGTCAATCCGGTATAAATATTACTCCTAATATTTATACCTATGTCAAGACTTGATAACTCTTTATCCATGATCCATGAGATGTGATCATCAGTCTATCTTCATAATAGTCTCAATGCTTTTAATGTTATCCCACTTTGCAATAAAGCTTGACTACGGATATTTTAAGAATAATGTCTTTATGTTTAATGGGATCTCATGATTAAGTCACACTTAACATTTCATTAAACAGACTAACTATTCTAGGGACTTTATTATTCTGAAAGACAAACATAATAAAGAAATGCCTTTTATTATTAAACGAATAATCTGATACAAGTACCAAAAAGTATTGGCCTCTAGGGCTTACACCAACAATACATACACAATCTGTTATTGATCTTCCTCTAATAAATCCTCTTTGCTTAGGAGAGGTCATTGTTGGCATAATTGATGCCAGTCTATCAGCTAAGACTTTATAGTGGATTTTGAATTTGAAGTTTGCAAGAGCTATAGGTTGATAATAATCCACTGTGCTAACATTGGGGAATTTAGGGATGAGAACTAATGTGTTTGCATTCCAGTTGGGAAGTATCTAGCCTGTGGAAAACAAGTGTGTGGTTGCATTTATTATATCATATTTAATGATGTCCCAGTAGTGTTGAAAGAAAAAACCACCAAAACCATCAGACCTTGGTTAGCTATCTTTGTTTAAAGAGAAAACAACACATTTGATTTTCTCAGGGATAGGAAGCATTGTCAAAGGGCATTGGATTGATCATTGACTAGCTTAAGAACCACCTCCTCCACCAGTCCATTTTCAGTATAACTATTGATAGTATTAAACAAGATCTCAAAATGACTTGAAAAAGTGTTGGAAATGTCCTTAGGATTAGTGTAGATGTCCTCCTCATGTTGAATAGAAGATATTACTTTGGTAGAGTTTCTGATTTTGGAAATCCTATGAAAAAAATCAGTGTTTTTATCTCCTTTATACCGTTTAAGTTTTGATTTTTCTTGCCAAAGCAACTCTTCCAACCTTAGGGCAGTTTCCAATTCCAATTGAGCTTTTTGTTCCTTAGCAAACAAATCTTCATTATGCCATTGAATTTGGATTTGAAATTGAATGACATCCAGATTTGCAATAGCTTGTGTAACAAATTGTGCACATTGTCAAATCCTTTTTTGTTCTAAATCATATTAATTTGTTGGAAATAGTGTAAAGAATAATACTCTTTCTGTCTTAAATTATAAGTCACTTTGCCAATAAAATTTGTCCCAAATTATAAGTCACTTTACATTTTCAATGTAATATTAATAACATTTTCTTCAATATACCCTCAAGTATTTATTATCATTTATTCATTCAACTCTTTCAATTTTTTTCTCCCTGTGTAATTATGAAGAATATTACTGTAAAATCATACTTAATTGATCTTTTCTATAAATTAATAATTAATTTTCTTAATTCGTGTAAAATGTCCAAAAGCATCTTATAATTTAGAATAAAAAAAATAATTAAATGACATAATTAGAAAAAGATTATACTATTGACCAAAAACTTACATTCATTTAACTTAATTATTATTAGAACTCACACATTTACTAGAGTAGAGTTGGCTTCACTAAAAAAATTATTCTATTAAAATTTACTAAAAAAAATCGTAAGAGCCAATATTTAAACCTATTTCTAAATGTCCATATTAGATGGATATTATATATTTTGTAATAGAAATATTATTAAATGGATCCATAATTATACAATTATTATTATTATTATTATTATTATTATTATTATTATTATTATTATTATTATTATTATTATAATATAATTGTTATTAAATTTTCCTATTGCAAAGTTTATATACACTCATATTAAAAAAACACTTATAATACATATTTTTGGTTTTTTAAAATTGTTAATTAATAAATATCAACAACTTTTTCATATTAATATATAAATATAAATAAATTCTACATATAACCATTTGAATCATACATAAGTCGTTTACACCCATTTTATTGATAAATAACAATGTGTATTATGTTAAAAAATTTATGCGCATATATATATATATATATATATATATATATATATATATATATATATATATATATATATATATATATATATATATATATATATATATATATATATATATATATATATATATATATATATATATATATATATATATATATATATATATATATATATATATATATATATATATATATATATATATATATATATATATATATATATATATATATATATATATATATATAATGTTATGCATATGTTCAATATTTCATTGACTTTTACAATTAATAATTTTCAATAAAGTAAAACATTAAATGAAAATAGTTTTTTCAAAATGTTTTTGAATACAAATTAATTTAATATTCTCTCTATCTTAAAATAAATATCATATTTGTAAAGTATTTGTTCTAAAATAAATGTTACTTTAGTTTCTAATGCAATTTTAGTTTTGATTTTCAATTGTATTTTCTAATTAATACTCTTGATTTACTATTTTTTTCACCATACACTAATGATAATTAAAATGCACAAATAGTCAATAAAAATAATTTAGTAAAATTGATATTCTTTCTTTTATTTATCACATTTTTGTAATCCGTGTAAAAGTGTAAGAAACGAATTATAAGAATAAGTATGACACTTATTTTTATTTTAAAATAGAATGAGTATAAGAAAAAAATCTAGATGACATTAATAAATTTTAAACAATTAAAAAAATGAAATTTAAAATACCAACTTCAAAATATATTAGACATTAATTGTTATAAATTTTATCATTTAAAAATATAATTTATATTTATCAATAAAATATATAATTTTATCAAACACTTGAATGATGTATTTGTCTTTCTACTACTTTTTATCAAATACATTTTATACATTTTTATGCTACTTTTATAGTGCACTCTAGATATTGCAACATTACAATTAAGTGAGATATGCATACTACAACATGTGTATTTAGGGCACTTGTTAAGGACATGAATGTAAACTTATTAATTGAATAGCAACATTTCAATTTTTTTTTAAAGTTTAAAATTGATCACTTTGACATCATCTTCATCAAATTGATTTTAAATAAAATAATTACTTATAAAAAAATTTAAACTGAAAAATTATAAATTAAGTTATAATCAATTCTACTTAAAAGTATTAAATTTATAAAATAAATTTTAGTTAAAAATAAATTGAAGATAAAATAATTTATGTTAGAATACATTTTTGTAAAATTAAATTGAACCATAAATTTACATAAAAATTACGTTTATATTTTAAAAATTATAAATTCTAAGTTCAGCTAGAATCATATCTAAATAACATACTTGTTTTTTTTCTCTCTTTAGAATGATTTTTATAATGTTAAATAATTTTATGTAAAAAATTTGTACAAACAATTTTTTTTATAAAAATTTCATATGAAAATTTGAATTTTGATTTGAATAGTTATTTTTAAAATGTTATTTTAAATATTTTTTTATTTTATCAAAATTTTAAAAAAAATCACTTAATTTTGAAACTATTTGAAAAAAATTTTCATAAATTTTTTTTTTGAAATTTTTTTAAAAAATAAAAATTGTAATTTGGAATATGGTTTGATATTTAATTATGTATGCTAATGTTATACGATGTCAAAATTTTAATTTTAATTTAGGAAAAACGAGTATAAAAAATTGTAATATTTTAAAAAATATATTTTTATAAAATCCATTTATAAAAGTGAATTTAATTGAAATATCCTTACCATGTAAAATGATTTTACACAGTTGATTAATTAT